ATAAGGCAGTATATCTATTGAATTTGTAGTCGTGTTTGAAGCTGTTTAATAAACTCGCAGGTCGTGTTTTATTAGGTCTAAAGCCACTCGCGCTGCGCGCTCGTGGCTTTAAACCTAATAAAACACTCCTGCTCGTTTATTAAACAGTACATAATGCATTCTTTATCTTAGTCCATGATATGTGCGTGCTTAATTAAAGCTGCAAAATCAATAACGTTCATATATTCCTTAACAAAAGCAAGGGACTAATTAGCTCGCCTGCACTTTAGTGCAAAATAGCTATTGCTATAGTATGGCGTACGCATCCACACCAGATATATGGTAAGGTTAATTTAATATCTTGTTTCTAAAACATTCACCTTTGTTGTTCATAATTTATTCAGTTCTTGTTTTTATTTTTCAAGGATATATACCAAAGGTTAATTTGATTAATTTTGCTATACGTATAGCAAAATTAATCAAATTAACCTTTTGTATGTATCCTTGAAAAATAAAACCAAGAAATAAATTAATTTAATATTGTGATGAATTTGAATATCGTCATTTGTCGCAAAACTAGGCCTATAGTTACTTATATATCCTATAAGTAAGAACAGATGTGTAACTTCAGTAAAAAAGTTGTCCCATGGTCGCCATCTTCCTAGCAAGTGTCGCTTGCGTGATTATTCGTCATTTGGTAGTACGTCATTGCTTTCAAAAATGTTTTCAACACCTTTTCTAGAACTTTAATTGCTTTTAACAACTTTAAACATTCAACAAATTATGCTCTTGATTGTTTAATCCATAAATTTCAATCCAAAAAAGCCACAACAAAATGCAAAAGTTCGTGTTTTCCAGGACGCCATCTTCCTGGCAAGTGTCATGGCGTGAGCATGACGTGTACATCTAGGGAAATTTGAGGACACAATGTCCTATTAAGGGCCTGTTCATATGGGCAAAAGTTATTCCGGTTAACGAGAGAACTTTTCGACTAGCCAACTACTTTTGTTCTGTTCATATGGAGAAATATTATCCCACTTACCGGGAAAAATTTCCGGCTGTGACGTAGCACTGAACATCAATTGAATTGAAAAGTTGCTGACACGACAAAAAGTTATCCCGCTAAGCGGGAAAGTTGTGTTCATATGGGGAAAACATTATCTTGGTCACCGAGATCTCGCCTGTCAACAAGCGAGGTCTCGGTATACACGGGAAAACTTTTCGTCTCATATGAACGCAATGTAACTTTTCATATTATTTTCGTAACAAGGCGAGATCTCGCTCGTAAACTTGTCGAAAAGATTTCTCGCTAACCGGGATAACTTCTGCCCATATGAACAGGCCCTAAGTTACACATCTAGTATATATACTTCATCTGTGCCTATATACTGTAAATGGGGGGAGAGGGGGAAGGAATGTTGAACAAGGCTTTAAAATGATAAGGTCAGCTTTTTAATTAATATTATACATGCCTTTTTCATAAAAGATATACTGTACTCTTACTATGCGTCCTTCATATATATTGTGACAGCAGTGTCCCACTTGTGGATTAACGCATTATTAATCAACTAGATTTGCTAGAATTTATCAAATGATAGAACTTGCATGTGTTGAGCTAATTAGCGTGAAAATAATAAGGATCATGTTAAAACGATTAACATTATAATAATATGGTTTATAGGTATTTCAATACACCTGTAGAATACACTAAGCTTTCAGCACTAAGGGGGGGAGGGGGCAGAAGCTTGGAAATTGCTTAACTATACATATTAAAACTTAAATTAAAGCAATATTTCATGTCGTTGATCCTGAAACTTTATTCCAGTTTTGTTTATTGTCGTTGTGGCAGCTATTAAATGACATATTTCATGTCGTTGATCCTGATATACGGAAAATTGCGTTAAAATATCGTATTTAATAGCATAGCGCGACTGTGTTGACAGTACATGTGTATTAAATAATACAATAAATACATTGTTTGTTTATAGCTTTCATTGAGTGATATCAAAATACGTATTTCTTTATTAGAATCCGTGCAAAAGATTAATAGTATATTTATTATTATAAACTTTACAATGAACAAAACGTACGATTGAAGATACAGACAACAGGACTGAGTAGTCGCAAAATAAGTCCTAATTATCTACATTGACATTGTAAAACAATAAAGACAGGGTTACAAACTTTAACAAATTAAGCTGCAACACAAAATTACAATACACGATCAATGCGTTCGAAACCATGCATCCTTACACTTTCCAAACATTCCAAACTAGACATGGACCGCCCATATATTGCAGTCCAAGTTACAAAAACGTTTTATACCTGCAGCATTTAACAATTATTCGCCGAAGGCGAGGTGATTATTGGGGAATATTCACAGAGACGAAATCGATAAACACAAGTTTTTTGGGACTGAATTTATTTAAATTTAACTTATTTCTTTATCAGTAACTTCCACAAAACGGCTAGCCGCCATTTTGCAAATTTCTGTTTTGTTATTTTCACCTGTAGGTGAATATAACAGCTTCAAACACTCATTAATAATTCATAAGCTTATTGACAAATCATGTCAACCATAATATGTCACGTGCAGTGGCTTTAAACCTGATAAAATACTCCTAATTAGTATTCTCTATATTAAGAATACTAATAAGGCACTATCTATTGTAGTCGTGTCCTCATTAGTATTCTTTATATAAAGAATACTGATAAGGCAGTATATCTATTGAATTTGTAGTCGTGTTTGAAGCCGTTTAATAAACTCGCAGGCCGTGTTTTATTAGGTCTAAAGCCACTCGCGCTGCGCGCTCGTGGCTTTAAACCTAATAAAACACTCCTGCATGCTCGTTTATTAAACAGTACTTAATACGTCAAATTTGTCCAATCAAATTGTGGGATTTGTTATAGTCACATGTGCAATTAATCTAATTAATATTCATAGCTTTTATAAACATCCCTCTAAACATCACTTACTGATCTTTAATGCGGTTTACAAGTGTTTGTTATTGTTGCTGCTGCTGCTGCTGCTGCTGCTGCTGCTGCTGCTGCTGCTGCTGCTGCTGCTGCTGCTGCTGCTGCTGCTGCTGCTGCTGCTGCTGCTGCTGCTGCTGCTGCTGCTGCTGCTGCTGCTGCTGCTGCTGCTGCTGCCCTTGCTGCTGCTGCTGTTGTTGTTTTTATCTTTTTTCTGATTTTGATGTATTACTTTTTAATTTGTTAAGGTAAACGGACATGAACGAATACTGTCCTGTGAAATCAAGAATTTAATTAGATGTGTTAATTCAAACGAAATTCTTAAATTGTTTAATTATACAGAAAACGGAACAGGTATGAATTCCCCATACACATATGAGTGACGATTTAGAAACAGTTACTATTTTTAGACTTTTAGTGTTAGGACTGAATGGTTTGGATTAGGAAAGAGTCAGGATTAGGATTAAGATTAGGGTTAGGATTAAAGTAAGGGATATAGAGTTAAGTTTGAAATACAAAAGAATACAAAATTACAAAAGTCTGAAAATAGAAACTCTTCCAAAAACGTAACAGGTATAGAATCCCCTTTTGAGTACCTTCTATCGTTTACGCCTCAACTCTATTTAGAACAAAAAGTTCTGTCGTTCCTGAGCTCTTCAGGAGACGCACAAAGTAACAAATTTTATATTTGTGTTATTTTGAGATAACTGGACGTGCAATAGCCTGTTAATAACATTTTTGAATAAGTTGCGGTAGTCAAGACAACCTGGAACGTCTTTGCTTTGCGAAAAGCTATTTTTCTCATCGTAATGTTGTTAAATTCCTTTCTTTTGCAATTCACTAGTGAAGAGGAAGACCACCAGTCTCGATTGTGAAGACTACGGGTTAAACGTAACAATACTCATTACGTTTTGTGGAACACAAGTAAAATGTAAGTAATAGTAATTGGTGTATATTAAGCATGAGCGAAACGAAAAGATTGTGTTACTCAAGATAAAATTTGTATCAGATATATTCACAGACGAGCCGAACTTCTAATATCAAATGTAAAATACTGTACCCTTTCACGGTCATAATTTACTGTATTTTTGTTTCATGAATTATTGAGTAAATTATGAAAACACACGATATACTAGTAAATTTAAATATTTTCAGTATATAAGACTTAATATTCTTTTCATAATAAACCTGATCTCAAAAATTGAACTTGCATGATTGGGCTTGGATTGAATTCAGAGAGCAATGTTTGATGCCGGAATATTTCTAATGAGAGGAGTGATTCTTTTTTAACTTTTGTGTAAAAGACATGAAAGACGTGGCATAGGTACTAAATCTATTTTAAGAATTTCTTGAACGTTTGTAACATTGGGTAATGAGACAAGATGCAAAGGCCATTATTCGTCTGACCAGCATGCAAGTTAAGAGAGAAAGAGAGGCTCACCGATGGCTAATTTCGTTTTAGAGATACAATAACTGGAATTCTAACAACTTCTTCTGACATCAGGATAATCACAGTAGATATATGGTGGTCGCGCTAATATGTCTGTCATTAGCTTAATTTACATGATACGGGATGCACTGTATCTAGTTCTTTCAATTTTTGAGTGAGTGGTTTTTTAATTCACACAGCCTGTATATTAAATATAAATCAGATTAAATCAGGTATATGAATTATTGTTTTTAGGCACGGTGAATGGACTTGAAATTCAAATCCCGGATATATTCAGGCGTTTACAGTATGTACATTGTATTTTTCAAAAATTATTATATATATATATATATATATATATATATATATATATATTTATATATATATATATATATATATATATATATATATATATATATATATATATATATATATATATATATATATATATATATACAGGGTGTATCAAAATAAACGCAATTCATCTTTTACGCTTAATAACTTTCGAAATACTATTTCTAGTTAAACGCTTTTAGGCTTACTTCAAAACCTGTTCTTTTCTCTTTCAAACAAACTAATATCCTTGTCTCCAATGCTAGTAATAATTGCACAGGAAAAGATTTAGTAAAACCTATCATTTTTAGTTGCTGTTTAATTATGCAAGTTTACTATGTTATAGTTTAGTCGGTTTAAATGTTAGAATTTTCTTCTTTAAACTTTAATGTTGTCGTCACTACATCTGGAAAACCACGTAAGAACAAATTAAAAGTATTTTAAAAGAGACCAGTTGTTTGAAAATCCTAAACGAATGCTAAAAATCGTCAAAAGATTCTGGTGTCTGAGCCAGAGTGTCATCGAATTGCGATGTAATGTAAACAGAAATTATAGCAAGTTGATGTCAGTCAGCTTAGATGGTCCAAGCCAAAATTATATCGCATTTGAAGTTTCCAACTGAGTTAAAAATAGTGGAAGAAAAGCCGTAATTATACTTATTGTTACAATCCATTTAATAAAATGCAACATTTTTTTGTTTTAATGAAAAAATCAGTTATTTTCATGAGAACGATTTGTTATTCCATATCTCAATTTTTTTAATCTCCAATCGCAATAACATAAAGTATTATTACTCGCGAACCAATGAGTCAAATTTAAGAAACAACCCACTGTTAGAAAGCTGAATAGCTACGCTTTTAAATGAATGTAAACTTTAACGTTTTCGTCTATTATTTGTTTAGCAATTTACATTTCAGTCGAGGATTGCGCTTTTTTTGATACACCCTGTATATATATATTAATTGATACATAGTAACATGTGTTCTCGGTTAGGAACATTTTTAAATATTTTCCCGATTATTTTGAGACTGAGGTTTTTTTTAATTAAAAAACGCTTGGAAAGTTAATTTGTTTTCGCTTCTGGTGAAAGGCTGTTTAATGTGGATAGGATTTGTGTTGTTAAATAAATATGGGCCATATTTTGCTTTTCGAATTTTTTTCCATTCAAATATTGATAAGAACATCTGGAACAATATTTAATAATAATAATAATAATATAATATAATGATATAATAATATAATGAATTTGTCACTTTATACATGATACAAATTAATTAAAGACAAATAAAGACAGATACAATCGTGACAGGGGAAAAGAACAGGACTCTCGTCCCAATTGACACCTAACCCCTAAAAATACGTTAAATATAAATACAGATAAAGAACAGGTTATAACACATTAGTTATAACAACTTATACCAACTTATAGTTATAACAACTTATAGCTAGAATTGAATCGTGACTATAAAAATACTGAACGTTTACACACTGCGACTTACCCACTATGCAGATTACAATTATTCAAAATCAATTTGGAAATCACGAGTCAATTAATATAACATATTTGTAAATATGATGAAAATGGCCGGATGATGGTTCAACAAATCGCAATGTGTAGACGTTGATCACGCAGTGCCCGGAGGTACGTAATGCGATAACTTAGTAGAATACAACTTATGAAGATGAGACTTGAAAATATTTAAAGAATTGGAGGATTTGACATGAGACGGCAGAGTGTTCCATAGTTCAACCGTTCTAATTAAAAAAGCATTTCTAAAATAGTCCTGCTTGTGTTTAATTATAAGATTATAGTTGTTTATATCATAATTTCTTGATTGGTGTCCAGGTTCAAAAGTACATATATATTTGTTCACATCCGTAGTAATTGCTCCAGTTCTAGATTTAAAAAGTAGGCATAAGTCTGAGATATATCTTCTGAACTCAAGAGGGAGAATCTTGATCTTCGCGAGTCTGTCGGCGTACGTTAGGTCCTGTGGATAGTCGAGAATAAACTTTGTTGCCCTCCGCTGGACATTTTCGACTAGTCTCTTATGCTTGATGGTATAAGGTGACCATAAGCTGCTGGCATATTCTAGAATGGGCCTCACGAGAGCGCAGAATAGTAATTTTCTCACTCTTTGGTCGTGGGTATCCTTACAAGTTCGAGTGTTCTGTTGGCCTTGGCCACCGTGTCTTCTATGTGTCTTGACCAGGACATGTCACTGCATACAGTCACACCAAGATCTTTGACGTATGGAACACATTCCAGAGGTTGACCGTCCAAATTGTACTGAGATACAATATTCGTCTTTTTTCTCGAGATCCGTAGTGCTTGACATTTAGATTTATTAAACTTCTTCGCCCAGTCGAGACTCCATTTATGAAAGTTATCCAGGTCGTTTTGGAGATGAAGGGTTGAGTCAGGAAGGTCGATGGATTTATAAAGTTTGGAGTCATGGGCAAACAGGGCATGCAATGGTTGATTGGGAATTGATGTAGCTGGGGAGATCGTTGACGTAGACAAGGAACAGGAGAGGATCAAGTATGGAACTTGGGGGACACCGGATGTTATTGGAAGCCACTCAGAATAAACACCATCAAGAACAACTCTTTGATATCTGTCCGTGAGATAGCTGCTAAACCACGAGAGAAGAGCTCCTGAGATGCCATAACTGTTCAGTTTTAAAAGTAGTAAACTGTGTGGGACCTTGTCGAAGGCTTTAGATAGATCTAGGTAATGATATCTACTTCCTTTCCCGATGTAACGGTTTCTATGATGTTGTGATAAACCTCCAGAAGTTGCGTTACCGTTGATCGTCCGCCCAAGAACCACCTATAGGCGTTAGCTAGCTGAGAACTGTGATTGACATTTTTGTGGTTTTATGAATTGGACGAACGCGAACGAACTAGTATAGAATACAGAAATGCAGAAGGATATATATATATATTAACCGCTGCAAAGTCATGTAAGTACAAGTATTTAAATTCATGTGATATCAGCTTGGTGTACTCTGAGATAGGAATAATTTCACATATATTTTAGTGAATCGCCTCGAATCGCCTCGAATCGAACATATATTATCAACAACATTGCGACACTGGGGTGATATCTAAGCTTGTGGCGTGTTATTATTAGTTGAAATTTATGAAAGAATATTAAAGAAATTAATATCTGAAAGAATACTGAAAGAACACTACATCCTTCTTCAATCAGTTCGATCTTCCATATCTGATTATCAAGGGTTTTAGAAGGAGTTGGAAAGGAAGCAGGAGGTTCAATGTCGCTGGGGTTAAAAACTGAGTGGAAAAAAGTGTTCAAGAGGTTGGCTTTCTCACGACTATCTGTGGTATATGATTGTCCATTTCTCAGAAAATTCGGACTTTGGCTTGATCTTGTTGAAAATTTCACGTATGAC